TGTTTTCTAGTTTTATTGGTTTAATTACAGTTTTGTTGTAATTTCAAGATTTATGTTAGTTCTCATGTTTTTCTGTTGTCCTCTGTTGCCCTCTTGTGTGTGTGTGTTCCTTTCCCCTTGGCTCCCTCGTTGTCTCCCCTCACACCTGCTCCTTGTCTGCTCGTTAGCCCTCCCTTTGTCTCTCTCTGCTATATATGCTCTCCCTCTGCTCTCACTCTTTGTTGGTTCCTTTTCTTAGCTGTCTTCCCATGCTGTGGTCTACGTTCCTCATCTCTCCCCGGCTCCTCGTGTTTGGTTTTCCCCAGATGCCTCCATAGTTCTGGTTTACTTTATATTTTTCATGTTTGATTTTGGATTTTTGGATTCCCACCTCTGTTACCTCTGTTAATTTCATTAAAGCTGCAAGAAATCTCCTCAACCTCTGCCTCTGCATTTGGGTCCTCAAACCACCACTGAACCCTGACAGTGAGTAGAACACGATGTAATAACGTGAAATCAAGGGGCCAATGTAAAAAAAAACAGTGTTCCCCTTTAAGGTAAATTTAGTAATATAAAAACAACTTAGTTTCAGCTAATAATGGTCTTAAAGTAAAGTAAGTGTAATAAACCCAATATGACAAAGTTAAGGTAAAACTATAATGAGTTATTAGATAAAGATAAGGTGTCCTTATTGTTATTTTTAATTGGACATGTCAGCAAACAGGAAAGGCCTCCAGCATTTACTGTTCTGATGATTTTTAGAAACACAGCTAACAAGGTTTATAGGTTTAAATCAGATTGGATCCAACTCTTCCCTTGGCTTGAGTTTGAGGATGAAGAGCAGAAGCAGGCAGGTAATTCCTGAATGGAAACCTCCATTTAAAAAAGACAGCCTCATGAAACATGAATTATTACCCAGATTAATGTTTTGTTTCTTTATAATTCTGCTATTTAGGCAGTTTTTGGTTTTGCTAATTTCCTTTCTGTTCTCCTGAATGTTTTCATCTGAGAGCTCTAATGCTGTTGGTAACAAAGCAAAGTGTACAGCCCTGCTTATGTATCACAATAAGCAGTGGTGCAGAGTGAACAGCATAGTAAAGGGGATTTTTACTTGTTGATCTCCTGTAGGTGTTGAGTTTTCTGGCTGAGCTCAGCTTTCAATGAAGCCACCTGTTTTTTTCTAAGGAGAAGCTGGTTCTTCATCTCCTGAAGCTTATTCTGACCCTCCTCTACTACCTGCAGAAGCTTCTTCTCATCCTGATGAGAAAAAAACAACAAAAACTGGCTTAGATGAAAGAATAACACACAACATAAAGGCTTTACAATAAAACAAAGCAGAAATCCAGTGTGATGATCTGCAGCATAAACGTATCGTTAGCCATAACTGAGATGTTAAAACTTCCACTTTCCACTCCTACTGGTCCTACATT